AATCTCGGCATTTATTTAGGGTGCCCTAACAATATGCCAGATGTGCTGTTATAGGGTCTTTGAATGCAACATTGGGTTAGTTCCCCAAATGCACTGAACAGATAGTTCTTAAACTATAACGGCGTTATAGGTGGCCCTGTAGTAGTATCCTTGATTGCTAGTTGACCAGTTTTTTAACATTTCTTGTTAGCGGGGACGGAAACACTTGAGGCAGAGACGTTGGCCGCTGCTTTACGTTTAAAATGAGTTCACAGAAACGAGATAAGACACCATATTTTCAGATTTTCATAACAGCACTGAACAATGTTCGGGCTTCTGCCGAATGTACAAAAACGCTGAAGAAAGGGCTGGTGGATGATTTCGGAAAACATCTCATTGAAGCAGGCTTTTAATTTTTATCCTTATGCATTAAATGCGTCTTTGAAGTTTCTGTCGGGCTGAATAGCTTAACTTTAGAGTGTTGGTGATATTTTCTGTGCTGTGTCAGCTTAGGATATTTTACTATGTGCATGTTATATTTACACTTCATTGACGCAGGCATTCCGTTTTCCGAATTTGTAATAGCCACTTATTTGAGAGGTACTCTTTTCAGTTGAGTGAAGTTGAGAAAGGGAAACTGGAGAATGCTGTTAGTCAGCTGGACGACTTGGTACGAAAGTTTGACAGCTCCGCGAATGTTGGCGTTGACAAATTATGTGCAGCAGCATTTCGGCCAAAGCTAAAGTCGAGGTTTAGTAACTTACTTTACTTAACAATTAACGAATTTTAGTTACAAGTGTTGCAGAGTTAAACATTGTCCTGTATGCTTTTTTTTTATAGCATGGAACTTTATTTGAATGTGTCTCATACGCCGTCTGATAGTGAATTCGCGGATTTTGAAGCTGACGATCCGTTTATGGAAAACTTCATTGCAACACTGGATCGACATTTGGCATCATTCGAGCCTTTACTTATTTCTGTTAATTATACCGTAAATTTTTTGTTCAAAAAATGTTTAGGTATGGAAGTGAAAGTTATTTTGTATGAAAATAGGGAAAATGTTATTTGAGAGGTTTCAAAAAGTCTAGTTCTTGGCTTATTTATAAAAAAAGATATCTATTTCTGTTTTTTGACACTTG